TAGGTTGTGGTGTGATACTAATGTTTCTCAAAATCAATTTGGATTCATGCCTGGTAGGTCTACTATGGAAGCCATACATTTATTGAGAGGTTTGATGGAGAAATATAGAGAAAATAAGGAGGATCTACATATGATATTTATTGATTTAGAAAAAGCATATGATAAAGTTTCAAGAGAAGTGCTATGTAGAGTTCTTGAAAAGAAAGGAGTTAATAATGCTTATATTCAAATCATTAAAGATATGTATGCATGAGCTATTACTTGTGTTCAAACACAAGGTGGATTGACCAAGTATTTTCCTATTTCGGTTGGGTTACATCAAGGATCAGCCTTAAGCCCATATCTTTTTGCTTTAGTCATGGATGTTCTCACTAGACATTTGCAAGAGGATGTACCTTGGTGTATGCTTTTTGCTGATGATATTCTTCTTGTTGATAAGACTAGAGAGGGAGTTGAAGGTAAACTTGAATTATGGAGGTCAACTTTAGAGTCTAAAGGTTTTCGCTTGAGTAGATCTAAAACGGAATATATGGAGTGTAATTTTAGTAGTAATAGACCTAGTGAGGGGATTGTGACTTTGGGCGATCAAGTCATTAATAAGAGTACACGTTTTAGATATCTTGGATCTATTGTTCAGAGTGATGGTGAAATAGATGGGGATATTATCAGCAGAATTCAAGTTGGATGGTTGAAGTGGAGGAATGCATCGGGCTTGTTATGTGATAGAAATGTACCCCTCAAACTTAAGGGAAAATTCTATAAGATGGTAGTGAGGCCTACAATGCTTTATGGTGCCGAATGTTGTCCTTTAAAAGAGAAGCATAATACTAAGTTAAGTGTGGCAGAGATGAGGATGCTCAGGTGGATGAGTGGCTTTACCCTTAGAGATAGGATATGAAATGAGCATATACGTGAAAAGGTTGGAGTAGCTCCAGTAGAAGATAAGATTAGAGAAAGTCTCCTTAGATGGTTTGGTCACATAAAACGGCAGCCTTGCGATGACCCGGTTAGGAGAGTAGAGGTATTAGATTTGACTTATGTTAAGAAAGGTAGGGGTAGACCTAAAAAGACTTGGTTATAAAATATTAGGAATGACCTTTCTTTATTAGATTTAAATGAGAATTTGACTTTTAATATGACACAATGGAGAAAAAGGATTCATATAGCCGACCCCACGTAGTGGGATAAAGGCTTGATGTTGTTGTTGTAGTCACATACTTTTATATTGATATATAAGAAGACTGTAGAAGATCATTTGGCTCATGTTAAAAGAAATTTTTAAGTATTTAAAAATTTATATTTGAATAAAAAATTTTCTGTTTCATGATCTTATGTGATATTTTTGAGATTTGTATCACTAAGTGCAGGAACACTTAGTTGATCGTGCTAAAGTAAAAGGAATTAATGAATGACCAAACCTATTAAAATTCACAAGATTCTAAAGTTTTTATATTATGGATACATTTTGTATAATATTTATTAAACATTTTACAATCATCAGGTCGCATAATACCAACTGTCTTAAAACGAGATTTTCATTGGACAAAATTTACTAATCGTACTTCTAAAGATATTAAGAAAAGAATCACAAATACCCTTGTACTTACATCCAAATTTTTTAAAAAATTCGATATTTCTTGTGATAAATATTATAAATAAAATGTAAAAAAAACATAAAGCAAGTCATAAGCTAAACAAAGAGCAACTGGCTCCAACTTCCATCACTCGTAGAGTTTGACAGCATATTCAACGCAAAGGACTCTGCCCTCGCACGTTATGAAAGTTTACTTCCTAAAAGTTTCAGGAACCATAGGAACAAAAAGCTAGAGCAAATAAGTGTTTCTGCTTATATCACAATTTAAAAGTAGGGAGATTTACATACTTACCACCTTATACTACTCTATTTACATATTTAACACTTAAAACTTTAATATTACATACATACCACCCATAGTTCATTTTCATATCAAATATGAGTGGTAGAAATGAAATATATGAGTGGTAGGAAAGAAATATTAGTGGCATATTTGATATTAAAATAATATAGGGTGGTATGCATGTAATATTAAAGTTTTGGGTGCTAAATATATAAATAGGATGTTATAAAGTGGTATGTATGTAAATTTTCCTTAAAAGTAATATGGGAGCATATGCCCGGATTGCAAGCACAAATAACAAAAAAATTTAAAATAAGAAAGGAATAAGCAATTTCACAAGCAAAAAAAGACACAGGAAAGAAATGACAACTGATGGAAACCTAACTCATGCGCAATGAATGAATGGATAATTTGAGATGCGTCAACATATCTATAAAGAAAATAAAAGATGGGCGACATGATAAATGCTAGGAGATAAGAAGGTCTAGATGCATGCAAAATAAGCAATCAAAGAAATGGGAGGTAATACCGGTGCTTAGTTTTCACTTAAAGGAGGAATCACTTGACAAGAAAAAGTCAGTTCCATTCTCATAGAAAAAAAGGAGCGAACTTCAAAGGTTTGGGCGGTGATTAATTAGACTTGTCAATCAGTTCTGTGAAGTGGCTTACCCAACAGAATTAGGAAGAAGAGGACGAAGGCTTAACATACGGCGAGATAAAAAAAAAAACTGAACATCGATGGAAAGATCGTGATAAAATGTTGCAGCATTTTTCCATTGATGTCCGTACGAATATTTTATCATGTTCACATTTATAGATCTGATAGAATAGAAGGTCCTTATTTTATATTAAAAGTTTGAGGCTCCATTTTAATAGTAGCATCGATAGATCAATTTAATCAATCAAATTGCTAAATTTTCAACTACCACACAGCATCCGTTCAGCTTGATAACTTGCACTTCATTAGTTTATTACTTAAAGAGAAAGACTTCAAGCCTAATATGAGTTATGGAATTTCATTCAGTCCCAAGCAGTATGGTAGAAGTCATTTAAGCTTTTTTAAAGCTATCATATAGCTATTTTGGGTGAGAAGGTATTACCTTTATTTTTTCGTACTCTCTAGTAGCGCAATCTTTAGCATCTTCTGTAACTTTTATTGTTCTTCTTATCTCCTCTAGTTTTTGAATTCTTGAATCATCACGACCAAATACCCGGGCAGAAGCAGATTCAATCTTTTCAGCCCTAGCATGTAAAGAAGTAAGATCTGATAGAAGTGTTTGTACTGTCAATAAAGCATCAGATCGTTCCGAGAATGCATTACGAATGCTTAACATCAATCCCATGTATTCATGCAGAGTGTCCTGCTAAAAAGTTACGGAAATATTAGTAGATATGCAAAAAATTTCAGCAATACACATATCATGAATCTTCTTAACATATTTTGTACTTTATTACCAGGTGTTTAATTGTTTGAGAATTCAATTCTCGGTAAAATCTGCTTGCTTTAACAGCGGCAGTTGCCAATATTTTGGTATTAGCAGCTCCCACTCTCTGAGGCACATATATGGCCTCATCATTTTCCAACTTAATCAGTTTAATGAATGCCAGACCCAACTCGCCCAGTGCTTCTCCAGTATCATGTTGTGCTTTAACTAGTGCCTCGGCCTGCATTAAACAAAGAATATAAGGAGCAGGTATAGATGAATAATATGTTAAGCATTTTAAGATTTGAGCTAAGCAAAGACTTTTCAAACAATACATATTAAAAAGTCTTCATACCCTTAATGAGAAGTATACTTAAACTGCATTTGCTTTAAATTTTCTGTCATTAAAACAGTGAAATTGTCCATAAACTTGAGGAAAATTTTGTAATCATCGGGCATGTCAACTCTAAGAAAATACCAATAATGGTTGACTCCTAATTGAAAATTTTCCTGCTTACTAAATCATATTTTCCCCCAGCCTACAACTATATCCTTCCACAGAGTGATAACACCAAGACCATTAACATAAATGAAGTGATGAGGACATCTACATGAGTTCTAGCGTAAGGAGACCTGCATGATCTACAGCCATGATCTACTTTTGATTTTTATTATATTTGATGTATTTTGTTTTATATTTTATGAGTATATTGTATTTCTTTGTGTTAGCCTTAGGGGCAATTTGGTCTTTGTATTTTCTTTATTTCTTTGGCTATTTAAGGCCTTCTCCTCTTCATGAGAGGAGGAATGAATATTTGAATGAAAAATTGTTTTTTTTTTCTACTTCTTCTTGCATGAGAGCTTGAGAAGGGAGAGAGCTCAAGGGGAGCAAATCGCAAGGCCCACCAGTAGTTGGAAGAGTCCGCGGCTCGTGGTTAAGTTAGTCTATCTTCTCGTTTGTGTTTTCCTCCAACCACTTTCCCTCCACCACAAGAAAAGCCATTCAAAATCCTTGGGTTGAAACCGAGCCTAGCCTTTGCCGCCACCTCCTTGGAAGCCAGCCGCCGGCCACTCCCACGGCACCGGCCGGCCACCTTCCCACACCCGTCCAACCCATCTCTCCGCAAGTTTCAAATTTGAAATTTGAATTTCAAATTTCAAATTCTTTCCTAATTTGGAATTCCAATTTAGGAAAGTTTCCATGATAAATTCCAATTTCAAATTAATTTAAATTAGAGTCTTTAATTTCTATCTCCACATCATCGCTCCAAATTGGAAACCCTCTCCCCCCCTCTTCCCATTAATCTCCCCCTCTCAACATGCCGCCGGCCCCCTTGAGGGAATCTCCCTATTGATTGCTCATTTAATGCCCCACCCTATTTGAAATTGAAATTAATTTCAAATAATTTTTCTCTCCTAAAATTTCAAATTCTGAAATTTATTTCAGAATTGATTTTGAAACTCCCCTCTCCCTTCCAAAAACCGCCGGCCTCCTCCCCTCTTGGCTCCCCTCCATTAATTCCCCCATTCAAGGCATTAATGCCTATGACTTGAAATTCAAAATTCAAGTCTTTTCCCACCCAATTTAATCAAAACTGAAATTAAATGTCAGTTTTTTATCAATCTTCCCCACCCCTTTAATTCCTTCCAAATCCACTACTCCTAAGTAAGGAATTAATTCAAACACTTCCCCTCCTTGCTGGCCGAAATTCCCCACAGCTGTTGGTTGATTTTTCCTTCTCAAATCCCTTCCAAAGCTTCAGGAAAACTGCTGCCCAACATCTTAATTTGCTGTTTGGAAATTCCTGCAGCAGCCCACCGACGTCCAACCATCTCGGGGGCGACAATTGCTTTCCAGATCTCAGGGACAGCCCTTCTTCCTGTCTAGAAGTTTCCCTGAGCTCAATAGGTTGTTATCCTGTTGATCACAGCAAACTAGGGTGCTGTCCAGCCGTCCAGAACCAGTCCTAGCTGCTGTCCTGAGGAGATCTAATGTCGTCCAGCCGCCCGAAGATACTCCCATTGCTGTTGAGTGGTTCCATAATCTTGAAGGCTGCTGCCCCTTCATTCCAGCCATCGTCATAGCTTCATAACTCCTTTTTTTTTGGGTAAACTCTTCACTCACTCTCTATGTTCTGAGTTTATTCTACTCGTGGTTATAATTTGATTTACAAAGCGCATGTTTTATCGCCTCCGCTAAACCTAGTATTTGAATGAGTTGTGAGAGAGAGGCCCTTCGTAATACTAATCTTATTGTTAGCATTGGAATTTCTCGTTGAAACCACTCATGTATGCAAAGTAAGACTTAGTTGACTATTTAATGATCTCAACCTCTCGCATGTGTTTAGACCTCAGCTATTTTATCACCTTAATGTTATCTTATCGTTTACATAAATAGAGGATTTTGCTTAACATTGCTCTCTAAAATTTACAAGTACAAACTTCCTTAAGCAAGTCATTTTCGCATGTATTGTTTCACATCATCTTGGTATCAGAGCATGGTAGGCAAGCATGACATGTGTAGAAAAACTTCCTTGGGTCAAGCTTTTCATTGTAGTTTAAAATTTTCATGCATATCATTGCGTAGTTAGATTTTATTCACTATTTTCACTGTTGTACTTGCATTTCCTGCATGCATTTAGTAGGGTCTAAGTCATTCTAGCTAGCGTAGGAGTGCTGCCATTAAACCTACATCGTTTCTCATTGATTAGGTTGCTTTGCGAAACCATTTAACCTGCTGTCCTGAATATTCCAGCACTTTTATTTGACCTTTAGGTGAGTTTAGGCAAGTGGTAAATTGCTGTCCACACCTTTTAACCCTCCCTCAACACTTAGACAACTCTATGCAGTAGTTTGCTGTCCACATCATTCCTACACACATCTAATGAACTGTAGGCTAGTTTCTTAAGCTTTTAGGTGTTGTCCTCAACCTAGCAACCTTCCTAAGTGCCTAGGCTACTTAACCCTATAGTGTAGCTTGCTGTCCAAACAATCTTCGCGCCCATTAGTGAGTTAAGTGAGCCTACTTGTTGTCTCAATGACGTCCCTTACACCCAATAATCTTTGAGTGTCACTTGATGCTTCCCAATGGACCCGATAAGACTCCAAAAGCGTTTAGATGACATCGTTAACCTAGTGGACAATATGACTAGAATTATGACGGAAAAACCCGTTGACTATCTCCACTCTAATTATATGCCCCACTCAGCTTATCACCCGAGACCTGAGCCTAGGCCTCCACGACCTCACTTAGAGTCATCTTATCGTCTGCCTGCCTTTGATGGTTCTTTGGACCCTTACTACTTTAGGGAATGAGTTAGACAACTGGATGACTATTTTGAATCATGTCATATCCCTGAGTCCCACCAGGTTAGCATCGCTAAGTCTCACCTAAAAGGTAAGGCTCTTCAATTTTGGATGAAATTGGAATATCATAAAGAGTCTCGCGGTAAGTACCTTACTTGGAAAGATATGAGACGAGAACTTAGTTTGAAATACTGACCCTCTAATAGTGACCGTCATCTAGAGCACCACCCTACCTCTTTTGTTGGGACAAACCGTGGACATTACTGTGGTCGAGACCAACCACCCATTAGTAACATCAGGGTTGCTGCCCCACCCTGTAGGTCTTCACCTAACCATGATGGCCGACCTTCTATTGGGCCTTCTGTTGGATCGGTCCCACATAACTCCCTACTTGGACCTACTTCTAGCCACCCCAGTCAACCCCTAGCCTCCCCAGTCCTTGACCCGGCAAGTATGATTATAATAAAGGAAGACATTAAGAAGAAAAGCTTCCCTGAACCTGACACAGAGTGCATCCATTTCGGGGATGCTAATGATATCACCAATAACGAAGAATTATTTGAGGATGAAACTGAAGTGATTGAGTTAGACTCCCTGCCCGACTTAAATCCTAATTTAGGAGAGCTAGAATCCTCAAACCTTGATATCTTAGCCCATCCTAATCCTAACCTCATCATGGATATCCCTTTGGATAAGGTCTGCTTGGAGGATATTAATTTGATCTCGAACGACACTGACCTGACCTTGAACACATTGGAATTAAAGTCGGAAGAATCTGATTTAATTGTATCTTCTACTGAGATGACTCTGACTAATTCTGATTTGATTTCAGATAATGTTGATGGCGATGTGGATAATCTCAAGTTGGAAGTGAGTCCATTACTAGTACCTGAATTAAACCACGACTTAACCATTAATCTTAGGGTTATAACCAAACCTGATTCTAGTAGAGATAATAATATGAGTCTGATAATTTATGAGCCTGAGTTGAACGATAAGCCTCCTATTGTTTTATTGGAGTCTATTTTAGGAGTTGCCCCTTTAGAGTTATATTTGGCATAGTGTGTCTTTCCTGATCTGACTTACATCACCGTTCCTTGTACCGACTTTAATGAACGAAAGAGCATTAGCACCTACATTCCTGATGCCTCTCTAACTGTTGTGCCCACATATGTTCCAAGTCTACCCCATCTTTTGAGTCTCATACCTGCAGGTGACTCTTTGGGTTATCCCATTATGGTTGTGAGTCAGGACCCGTCATCTTATATTGTTCCTAATTCATTCGTTTTACCCGCTACATTCTTTCCCTCTCCTAGTTGGATGAACTAGCTAGATTATATTGTTGCCACTAGGAGACTACCTATGACCATAACTGAAACTACCTATAGAGATGCCCTGGTAGCTAAGGATGTCTTTAGTGCTCCTTCTACACCAGTTCCCTTAGACTTGGAAACTTTATGTCCTCCCGTTTTGTGATTGATCTGTTGCATTCCTATCTATGTGTGTTTGTAAGTCGGTATGTTTGTGTGTTTTGTAGTCTCTGTCTCTCAAATCTTTTTTTTTTTTCTTTTTTTTCAACCATGTGGTCCCACAATTCATGCCAATCTTCATTGCAATAAGTCTCTTGCATCAACATTTGCATTACATCTGCATGACTTTCTTAAGAAAATTGCACGCTTAACTGAAGAGAGCAATAATAAGTATAAACTTCATGCTAATTCTAAACGACAATTTAACTCTATTAAGGTAGGTAACCTAGTAATGATGCGGATTCGTCCGGAAATCACATGTTAGAAGTGCGGGAACATTTAGAATAGTCATTAAAATCTATAACAACGCTAGCGTGGTGGATCTGCTTGCAGAGTTCAACATTCATTCCTTTTTTAACATAAAAGATTTAGTAGACTTTGAAGGTCCGGAGTTAAACCCCAAATC